TGTCTGTGAGGGCGCAGGATGGAGCGAACCACGAGGGTGAGAGCGAGGTGGGCTGCCTGGAGGGGTCCTGCCTGTCTTCATCTGGCAGTGGGGTGCTTTATCTGGGCCTGGTAGGTAAAACGGGGGGGGCGGTGTTTTAAAAAAAGGGGAACCCCTTCTTTATACCTGCCAAGAAAAGCACACAGACATATCTAGGGATGTCCCCTGAATTGTGCTCCAGTCAAGAACATTGGGGCCTCTGAAAGGCCAGCCCCCCCAAACCAATCCGTTGGGGTGCATTCAGATAACAAACTCAGCCCAAACCACCCAGAACTAACCAAGGTTAGCTTCATGTCTGAATGCAGCTGCTGAGTGTTCCCCTGGCTGGAACAATGCCACCGGTGTGTTATGTTTAGCTATAATTATACGTGGATATAAATGTAAGTGAGAATGTGCTTTATATATACGGTGTGCATGTATAAAGATATCAGCTGTTTATTTATGAACATTTTTGAGTCACAAAGAATATTCTGGCACTTTGAAGACCAGTAAAGGGGTGAGTGGGTGTGTTTATACCTCGCAGAGCCCTGTTTATAGAAATGTGGTCCGACAAGAAAGGGGGTTGGGTAGAAACTTTCTTAGGAGCTCGATTAAAAAAGAAAAAAAATTGTAAGGTGGGCTGAACGATGGAGTGCTGACCTAAATTATTTCATATACAGTACCTTGGAGTACTTTAGTAACAGACATGGGACAGTAGGGTGTTCAAAAATGCTACAAGTGAATTAGGCAAATGTTTTTAAAATAAAAATTGTTGCAAGTGAATTAGGCGAATGTTTCTGAAACAAAAATTGTTGCAAGTAAATTAGGAAGCAAGGAGAACTGCAGCCATGATAGGCCCAACGCAGCAACATCTGGAACCAGATGGAGTTTTGGGGGGTGGGTCTGCCCCACACGCCAAATTAGGCCGAAACCAAGATGGGAATTGTAGCTTAGTGTGTGGTGAGCTTAACATGTGCCAAGCGATCATGCTCGGCTATTGTTATTGAACGGGACAGAGAAAGTTGTTCAAACATGGACATTGGGTATAGTTAACACGGCTTTAGACACAACAGTGTTGTGTGAACCTCCTGCTTCCTTCTAAGCTGGTTGTGAGGATAAAATAGGGTTGGGGAAAGAGACAGAACTGGGGTGAGGTTGCGGGGGGGGGGGAGTGCACATTTCTTTTTTAAATTTTCTTTTTTCTTTCAGATCAAAGCTTGCTTGGTTAAAAAATAATCAAGATTATTACTTTATTTATCAAAAAAAATAGAATGCAAATCATTATCAATGATCTCTTTAGCTATCCTAGGTCCTTGAGAAGCATCTGACAGTCAAAAATACCAAATCTGGTCAGAACTATTTGGTAGACTGTGTGTTAATATAATATTTTATGATACTAATATGAACTGAATCTGAGTTTAAGGGACCGTTCAGGGTAGACTAAAGCAAATATTTGTTAATTCCAGATTTATGGCATTTGCAAGACAAGGTTGCATGGCCCCAGCGACCCGCATTGGCACCAGCGATGGAAAGTTTAGCGCTTGGTCCTGATGACTTTGGGTACACCCTGCAGAAAATATTGGCCGTCGTATCCAAAGTCCGCTAAATCAAGATCCGTTAAACTGTAATTGTAGAACGAAGGAAACTGCAATAAAATGATTAGAACAAAAATGAAGGGAAATGGTAAAAAACAGCAACATGTTTTTCTCCTGAGCAAGAAAGTCCTCTGCCTTCCCGCTCGCACGGCTTGAAATACGAACGCTCGGTTGTGTAACGTCTGGAGTCAGAAAAGCTGAATCCAAGAGGTAGAATCGTTCAAGAATTAAACGATTTAATTTTTCTGGTGTTTGCATAGCCCTAATAAAAATGTCCAGCTGTGGGATTCGGATGTTCGTGAATGCTTGCGGGTTTGTGGGGGTGCATCAACCCCAACTGACATAACGGGGGCTTGGCTTTGATTGCTGGTTTGCTTCTCCCAGTGGGAGAGTGACTTCTTGTTCACACAATGCACTTCCCCCTGTTTACCTTAACCGTGGTTTACTCACTTAACACAGTTACCCGAGATTACATGACAGGCGCTGCGTTCCCACACATAGGTTAACCTCATGACTCATTAACCCATTTATGGAATTCCTAGAAGACTTTGGATCATAAACACTAACTCTAACCCATGAAGTAAACCAACCAAGGTTAACCCTAGCTAATTTAACATAATGTGAGAATGGAACCAGTTGGTCTTTTAACTGACTTGCTCGGATGTGTTGTGGGGATCCATCATGCTAAGCTTAACAAAATTCCACGACTATTTTTGCAACACGATGTTCACACAGGTAAACCATATTCTATCTTAGTGTGATAGTTCGCACCACCTTGGGTGGGTTCTGACAACCCTAATTTACCCAGCTCCATTTTAACTGAGTTCTGCTTGTGCATTTTCAGCCAATATGAACTAACTACAAGGGCTGGATTTATGCAGTACATTGAACCAGATTTAGGATAGGCTAAGTTGGGTTCGTGTTCATTTTTTGGTGACGTTTTTCTATTTTTTTGTTTAATTTTTAATATAAGTATTTATTGGTGAGTATAACAACTGGAAAATATGATAACCAAAAATATAGCAGTTAAAATAAAATATGATAAAGTACAACCAAAAATAAATCAGGGAAAAAAATAGAATAATAAATTCGTGACACTTGTAGAAACTGAAAGTATATCCATAAAGAGTTAATATAGAGCAGTGTTTCTCGAACTTGGTGACTTTAAGAAAAGCGGACTTCAACTCCCAGAATTCCGTAGCCAGCATGCATCCTGGTTAGGAGTTGTCCACCATGTTGGCTGGGGAATTCTGGGAGTTGAAGTCCACATGTCTTAAAGTCACCAAGTTTGAGAAAGAGAGAGAACTAGCTTAACCCTTTAACATTATTAAATCAGGATGAGGGGGTTTTTTTTGAGTTTAGTGTGTGCTATGAGACCAGCCCAGGACTGGTTGATGATTTATAGTAGTCTTGGCAATTAGTAGTCTTTGGCAAACCCCAGAGAATTCAGAACCCGGGTCCTGGAGATTGTCTGAAGGTAGCTTCAGAAAAGGACTTCTTGAGAAGCCTGAACAGAATTGGAGGCTAAACAGATGCAAAAGGATACTCGTTTGGTGTAGTGGTTAAGGCACTGGGCTAGAAACCAGGAGACCCTGAGTTCTAATCCTGCTTTAGGCACGGATGCTGGCTGGGTGGCTTTGGGCCAGTCCCTCCCTCTCAGCCCAACCACCTTACAGGGTTGTTGTGGTGGGGAAACGAGGCAGGGGGAACATGTATAGGAGCACCTTGAGTTGTAAAATGGTGATGATGGGAAATAAATCTAATAATCAGCAGTGGGAGAATGGGTAACACCACCAGGATCCCAGCAGCGTTGAGAAATTGTCCCCCGCAAGAGGGACCAGAAACAGTCGCCGTATTTGGACCAAAGCAGTTGTCTGAACGCAGCCTTTCTGGGGAACCCAGTTTGCCAGCTGCACGTTTGCCCGAAATAGAAATAATGGCAAATGAAAGCAGTCCATCTTTACCTTTGTATTAAGAAGCGAAAGTCCAGGGTTGGGTTGCTACGGAAACAGAATTCGGTTGGCCCAATACTGGTCCTGGAACTGGCCGGTAAAGATGCTGGCCAATCGAAAGGGAGAGGTGGGTGGCCAAGATCAAGGTCCTTTGGTTCTCTGTGGCTTATGGGATTTATTGGGACTTTTCGTGGGGGATCCTCCAAGCCCAGGGTTTGCCAAGCCAGATGGTGCAAAATCTCTAGAGCGGTATTTTTCAAGCTTGGCAACTTTAAGGGGTGTGGACTTCAACTCCCAGAATTCCCTAGCCAGCATGCTTTAAGATGGGTGGACCTGAACTCTCAGAATTCCCCAGCCAGCATGGCTGGCTGGGGAATTCTGGGAGTTGAAGTCCATACCTCTTAAAATTGCCAAGAT